TACTAACTAATGAGCAATTACTAACACACTTGAAACAAACAAAAATTACAAAGTCAGCAAATAAACAGAAAATCTCAGGAAAGAAATAGAAGATATAAAGAAGAACCAAATGGTAATTTTGAACTGAGAAATATAATATTCAGTGAATAGATTCATAAGCAGAATGGTAAAGACAGACTTGAAGACAAGAACAGAAATTACCCAATCTGAAAAACAGAGAGAAAACAGACTGAAAGAGAAAAGGACAGAGCCTGAGAACAGTGGGATATAACAAGATATCTGACATTCATATCATCATAATTTTGAAAGGAGAGGAGACTGAAGGTGGGAGTGAAAAAGTACTCAAAGAAATAATAGCTGACAACTTGCCAAATTTGGCAAAAGCATCTACAGATTCAAGAAACTGTTCAGAATAAATTCAAAGAAACCTACACCAAGATACATCATAGTAAACTGAAAACTAAAGACAAAGAAAAAGCTTGCAAGCAATGAGAGAGAAATGATGCTTTACCTTTAAAGAGAAAAACAATTTGATAGGAATTTCTCATTAAAAAACAAAAACAAAAAAAAATCCTGGAGGACAGGAGGAAGTGGCACAATACTTTTCAAGTGCTGAAAAAAGAAAAAGGAATTTTCAACCCAGAAATCGATGTCTATAGAAAATACCCTTCAGGAATTGAGGGGAAATCAAGACATTGGACCCACCAAAAGAATGGCTATAGGAAGTTTTCTAAACAGAAAGGAAATGATGAAAAGAGGAGTCAGGGAACTTTAGGAAGAAAAAGATTGTGAAAATAAAAATGGGTAAATACAATATATTTTCCTTCTTTTGCGTTTTCTAAATTATGTTTGATCATTGAAGTAAAAATCACATGCTCTTTCTGATGTTCTAAATGTATGTAGAAGAAATGTTTAAGAAAATTTACTATAAATGGGGGAGGACAAAGGGAATAAAAGTTTCTGTACTTCACCTGAGCTGGTAAAGTGACAATATCTAGACTGATAAGTTATATAATACCTAGAAAACCCACTGAAAAACAAAACTATAGACAGAGATACACTAAGAGAACCTATAGATAAATTGGAATTGAATTCCAAAAAATTATTAAAAGTAATCCATAGGAAGACAGGAAAAAGAAAACAGAAATGAATAACAAGAGAGAACAAGAAGGAAACAAAAAGGCAGTGTAAAGCCTTAACATATTACATTAAGTATAAATGATCTAAATAAACCAATTAAAAGAGATTGACATAGTGGATTTAAAAATATGACCCAGGCTGGGCGAGGTGGCTCACGCATGTAATCCCAGCACTTTGGGAGGCCAAGGCAGGCAGATCACGAGGTCAGGAGTTCAAGACCAGCCTAACTAACATGGTGAAACCCCATCTCTACTAAAAATACATAAATTAGCTGGGTGTGGTGGTGCACACCTGTAATCCCAGCTATTGAGGATGCTGAGGCAAGAGAATCACTTGAACTTGGGAGGCAGAGGTTGCAGTGAGCCGAGAGCATGCCACTGCACTCCAGCCTGGGTGACAGTGATATACCATCTCAAAAACAAAAACAAAAACAAAAACAAAAAAAAAAACGACCCACCAATATGCTTCCTACAAGAAATACACTCCAACTAGTAACACTAAAGTCAGATTGAAAGTAAAAGGATGGTAAAATATTATACAAATAATCAGAAGCAATCTAGGATGGCTATATTAATATCAGATAAAATAGACTTCAAGACAGAGATTATATAATGATAAAAGGGTCAATCCACTGCAGAGACATAGCAATCCTAAATGTGTGGGCATCACACAACAGAGCTGCAAAATATGTAAAGCAAAAACTGAAAAATTGAAAGGAGAAATAGACAAATTCACAATTATATTTGGAAACTTCAACACCGCTCTCTCAAAAAAGAACAGAACAACTAGGCAGAAAATCAGCAATGATATAGAAGAGCTCTGCTATACAATCAACCTAACTGACTTGTGTAGAGCACCCAACAACAGCAGAACACATGTTCTGTTCAAGTGCCCACAAAACATTTAAACTATGGTGGATCATATCCTGGGCCATCAAACAAACCTCAACAAGTTTAAAAGAATTGAAATTATACAAAGTGTTTTTTCCAACCCCATGGAATTAAAGTAGAAATCAATAGCAGGATGGTAACAGGAAATCTTTTTTCCTTCTTTTTTTTTTTTTTTTTGAGATGGAGTTTTGCTGTTGTCACCCAAGCTGGAGTACAATGGTGCAATCTTGCTTACTGCAATCTCCACCTCCCAGCTTCTGCCTCAGCCCCCTGAGAAGCTGGAATTACAGGTGTGCTCCACCATGCCTGGCTAATTCATGTGTGTGTGTGTGTGTGTGTGTGTGTGTGTGTGTGTGTGTATTTTTAGTAGAGGCGGAGTTTCACCATGTTGGCCAGGCTAGTCTCAAACTCCTGACCTCGGGTGATCCACCCGCCTTGGCCTCCCAAAGTTCTGGGATTACAGGAATGAGCCAACATACCCGGCTGATAACAGGAAGCCTATAAGCCCTATTGATCACTGTATCTAAACATATTATTACTTCCTGGTAATTTCATTCTTTCCTGAATTCCCTTCATCCTGCAGAGTGCTTAGTATGTGGGAAGTTATTATATTGTTTATGTTATGTTTGTATTAGTCAGTGTTCGCCAAAGAAACAGAGACAGTAGAATATATAGATATATGAGGAGATTTATTACGGGAATTGGCTCACTTGATTTTGGAGGCTGAGAAGTCCCATGATATGCCAATTAAAAACTGGAGAAAGGCCAGGCATGGTAGCTCACGCCTGTAATCCCAGCACTTTGGGAGGCCGAAGCAGGCGGATCACCTGAGGTTGGGAGTTCAAGACCAGACTGACCAACATGGAGAAACCCTGTCTCTACTAAAAATACAAAATTAGCCAGGCGTGGTGGCGCATGCCTGTAATCCCAGCTACTCGGGAGGCTGAGACAGGAGAATCGCTTGAACCCAGGAGGCAGAGGTTGCAGTGAGCCGAGATCGCGCTACTGCACTCCAGCCTGGGCAACAAGAGCGAAACTACATCTCAAAAAAAAAAAAAAAAAAGGCTGGAGAACTAGGAAAGCTGATGGTATAACTCCCAGTCTGAGGCCAAGAAAAAAAAAAAAAAAAAAAAAAAAAAAGGCTGGAGAACTAGGAAAGCTGATGGTATAACTCCCAGTCTGAGGCCAAAAGCCTCAGTGGGATGAGCAGAGGAGGGAGCTGGTGTAAGTTCCAGAGTCGGTGGGCCTGAGAACCAGGAGCTCCAATGTCTGAGAACAGGAGAAAATAAATGTCCCAACTCAAAAAGAGACAGAATTTGCCCTTCCTCTACCTTTGAGTTCTATTCTTGCCCTCAACAGATTGGATGAGGCCCACCCACATTGGGGAGGGTGGAAGTTGTTTACCTATTCCACTGATTCAGATGCTCATCTCTTCAAGAAACACCCTCACAGGCATTCCCAGAAATAAATGTTGTAAAGGTGGCCAGCTGTCTGGCATCTCTTAGCTCAGTCGAGTTGACACTTAAAAACAGCCATCACAAGCCATTATCCTCAGCAAACTAACACAGGAACAGAAAACTAAACGCCCTATGTTCTCACTTATAAGTGGGAACTGAACAATGAGAACAGATGGACACAGGGAGGGGAACAACACACACTGGGGCGTGTCAGAGGGAAGCTGGGGGAGGAAGAGCATCAGGATAAATAGCTAATGCATTCTGGGCTTAAATACCTAGGTGATGGGTTGATAGGTGGAGCAAACCACCATGGCACACATATACTTATGTAGTAAACTACACATCCTGCACATGTACCCAGGAACTTAAAAAAAAAAAAAAAAAAGACGACTAGGTATAGTGGCTCACGCCTATAATCCCAGCACTTTGGGAGGCTGAGGCAGGTGAGTCACTTGAGGCCAGGAGTTCAAGACCAGCCTGGCCAACATGGCGAAACCCCTTCTCTACTAAAAAAAAAAAAAAAAAAAAAAAAAAAAATACAAAAATTAACCAAGTGTGGTGGTGAGCACCTGTAGTTCCAGCTACTCGGGAGACTGAGGCATAAGAATCACTTGAACCCGAGAGGCAGGTTGCAGTGAGCTGGGATCACACCACTCCATTCCAGCCTGGGTGACAGAGCAAGACTGTCTCAAAAAACAAAACAAAACAAGGAACTAGCCATCGCAGTTAATGAAAGAAAGACTTGATATCTCAAATCCATAAAATTCCCTGCATTTCAGGTGCTTCTCTCTGGTTTAAGCCACCATCATCTTGCTCCTAATTGACTCCACCAGCTTCCTGACGGGGCTGTCTTCTAATCTTTCCAATTCATTCCACATACTGTGAAAGAAAGAACACATTGGGTCATGTTAGTCCGCTGCTTAAACAAAACAAAACAAAAACCCTTCATTGCCTCCCCATTGTTCTCAGGCTAAAAAATCCATACATTCGCCTGGCTTTGAAAGCACTTAATTTTCTCTGGCCCCTGCCTGCCTCTAGCCTGCTCACCTACCACGCTGCCCCTCTGCCCTTCATCCCATCATATGCAGCCCCTGACTTAGTCTGCTCCTGTGTCCACTGAGCCTTCAACTCAAGGTGTCCTCTGCTCACAGAGCTCCTGAGCTACCATTCCATGCAGAGCGTTTGCTTGTCCCCTGCTGCAGCTCAGTCTCACTTCCTCTGGGCAGCCCCGCCTTGCCGTTCTCCTGTGCGTGGCACTGCCTTTTCACAGTACAGTTCCCTCGCCTACTCCTCTGTTCCCTGCTCTGGCCTGGAGAATCTGCCAGCCCGCATGTGCCTAGCACTCAAATGAAGATTCAACTCAGGATTGGATGAACAACCAAAACAGAGTCACCAACTGTACTCCATTAAAAACATACTTTATTTCTGTCTGGCATGAAGAAATTTATTTTTTAAAACATAAATGAATTTAATTTGATGTTCTTTTTGAATGTTTCATTTGCTTTGATTTCAGATTGAAGAAGAAATAAAGGGGTGTTTGCAGTTTTTGCAATCTGTTTACTCAACATTTGGCTTCTCCTTTCAATTAAACCTGTCAACAAGGCCGGAAAACTTCCTAGGAGAGATTGAGATGTGGAATGAGGCTGAGAAGGTAAAAGACACACCTTGTACTTCCTCTTCATTTTAGTCATATGGAAAACACCTGAGAGGCTGCGCTTCTTTGCAGGAGGATGCAATAATTTGTAATAGAAATTTTGAAACTGGAAATTGTGGGATAAATGTATAGGTTGTAGAATGTGGTTATCCCGTTTTCTTTGTGACGGTGATAATAATAATACCTTACATTTGCTTCACACTTAAAGTTCATATCTGGCTTTTACTTGTAGTCTTTCAGTGCTGGTCACTAAGAATTGGCTCAGGTTTTTAAAGAAATCTTCTGATTGCTATAACTCTCGGTTTGTGAGGTTTATTTTAAACCATTGCCTGTTGAGTCATCTTAGTTCAACTGTAGAGTCCCAGGGCTGCATGTTCTAGATGTAGATGTGCATACTTGATGCTGGAGTCCGCTTCATAGTCACGTCCTGTCATGCCCTGCCCTGTGTCTGTCTGAAGACACCCACGCTCAAAGACGTTACATCTAAGCTTTGCAAAACCAAGATAAGGAGCTCATCACATTGCTTTTTTTTCCATAATAAACAAAGGATATAGTGTGTTTCCTGTGTTCGCTTTTATTAAAAATGAGGATGGTGTCATGGCCAGATACCCTGCTCTGCCTGTTAGTTCTCCTCTGCTTGGAATATAATAGTCCCCACTTATCCATGGCGAATAAGACCCCAAGTGGATGCCTGAAACCCTGGATGGTACCAAATTGACGGCAATCAGGTTAGGACACCTATCTGTTCATTCCTTCACCCACAAATTTAATGCCCTTTTTTTTTTTTGAGACAGGGTCTTGCTCTTTTGCTCAGGCTGGAGTGCAGTGGCGCGATCTCAGCTCACTGCAAGCTCCACCTCCCAGGTTCACGCCATTCTCCTGCCTCAGCCTCCCGAGTAGCTGGGACTACAGGCGCACGCCACCACACCCAGCTAATTTTTTGTATTTTTAATAGATACGGGGCTTCACTATGTTAGCCAGGATGGTCTCGATCTCCTGACCTTCTGATCCTCCCACCTCGGCCTCCCAAAGTGCTGGGATTTAATGCCCTTTCTTAACTAAGCACTTTTCATACACTGTGGCTGCAACTTTTGCAGTGTGAGGTGCAACAGCAAAACTAGCATGAATTTTTTTTTCCTTCTTCACTAATTCACAACTTACCCAATGGATAGAAGATTTTTTTTTAACCATAGCTCTTAGAAACTTCAGCATAGGATTTTTTTTCCTTATTAAATTGATAACTTTCACCTTTTCACTTAAAGGAAGCATTTTGTGGCTTCACTCTGGCATATCCAGATTGCTAGTAACACAACTCTTGTGCTTTGAGGCCATAGTTAAGGAAAATAAGGGTGATGTGAACGTAATCACTGTGATACTGCACAGGTGATTTGAAACATGACAGCTCGTAAGTGACTAACAGGTGGGCAGTGCACCCAGCATGGAGACTCTGGACAAAAGGACGAGTCACATCCCAGGTAGAACAGAGTAGGATAGTGCTTTATCCTGCTGCTCAGAGCAGTGCACAATGTAAAACTTATGAGTTGTTTATTTCTGGAATTTTCCATTTAATATTTTCAGACCTCAGTTGACTGCGGGTAACTGAAACTGAGAAAAATGAAACCACAGATAAGGGGGACTACTGTACTCGTGGGAGCTTAACACACAAATACAAGAAATACGAATCAGAGAAGCACTGGATTAATAGTGTAACAATTATTTTTACATGATTAATAGGTACAGAAGCCAAGCAGAGGCTGCACAAAAGCAGTTTAGCCTTGAGCTCTAAATCGGGCCTTCTCCTCTGCACTGACCCATGCCCACCCTAAGCTCTTCTTCCACATCCACTGCATGGACTAAGAGGGCCAAATGAGATAGACTATCTACCCTGGGAAGGATGCAGACTCAGTTTACCTAACAGCCATGTGGAAGCAGGAAGAGGAAATGAGGACACAGAGCTCAGATCTAGAGCCATTTTACTCCAGACTTTAAATTCTGAAAGTACTTTATCTCCATGAGTAAATTATAGAAGATCTCTAAGCATCAGGATCAAGCATGAAATGGTGATGATGAGACAGTGGTGGTGATGGTGGTGGTGATGTAGCGATAACACCTACTTCCTGAGGGTGTGGTGAAGTTAAATGAAGTAATTTACAGGAGTGTTAGGCATAATGCCAGGCACATGTAAGTGCCCAGTAGATGTTAGGTGTTGGTATCATTGTCATTACTCTATTCATTTGAAGTTTGGCGGGGTGTGGGGAGCTCAAAAAGGGATGGACCAGGTATAGACCTGGCATGGAGAGGACAGGCTGGAAGCCCCAGCATTTTTGCTCTTTTCTTAACTGATGGGAGTAAATAGTTTAGCAACCAAGCCTGAGGTCACCCAGGGGTGTGACTGGATGGACCTGCTTCTGCTTTTGGGATATTTCTCTCAAATATCTAACCCTGGCCCGGAAATCACTGAAATGAGCATTTAAATATTTTGTCTTCAGAAGTGTCTGAAACAGTTTGAAAGAGACACATCTTGCATGAATCCAATGCTCTTTTGGCTCTGGCAGCTCCTACTGTGCCCTCCTGTTCTGTGTCCTCCAAGGCCCAAGGAGCAGCAGTGACCCCTGCTTTATCCTCTTCTCCAAAACTTGGCCTTTCCTTGACTTTTTAGCCTCTTGCAGTCCCCAGAATTCTTTCCATCACTTGGTGTCTGCTGTAGGAGGGCCTCATTTGTCCTGGAAACATGAGAAGGAAACCTGTGTTCCTTCTCCTTTTAGAAACAGAGTAGAACAGGGGAGCATGGCCTCCAGGCCCAGGAAATGTCTCCACGGGGGTGGCTTCCTCTGGTCCTAAGTAGAAAAGAAGCTGCTTCTGTAAGATCAGGCCTATGTGGGACACTCTCAGGATCCCAGGAATAAAATCTCCATCTCTCTCAAGATCATATCCTGACTGAGGTCCTGGGAAAGGCTTCCAGGACTCCAGGAGTCAGCTTTCTTGATGATGGCAGCTTTGGCCTTAAGACTGCCACTGCTTTGATTTCCCCATGAGGCATGTCACTCCCAAAAATCTGCCCCCTCATGGGCACCAGTATTATGGAGGCGATGATGGGAGTTTGGCTCGTGTTTTGGCAGTACTTTGGCCAAGGACTTAGGAATGCCCACGTGCTTCCCAGGGAAGCTGGATTCGTGGGAATACTGGAAGACTCTGGGAAATTTTTCATTAATACACACTTGCACCCTCATCTTCAATGTGGAACATCTTCACTACAAGCTAAGTTGAAGGCATGAAGTGGCTTAGGCTAAAGACAAAAGTAGAGCTTCATGCTCCCACACCCCTATAAATTATAAGTGACCCTCCCAGACATGTGCGGAGGTGAAGGAAACGCAAAAAAGAAGTAGCGAGGCCTGCCCTCTTGGCCTTCTTACCCACCCAGACTCAGAGTGGAAGAGGGAGTGAGATCAAGGCTTTCCTGCTTTTTCATGTGTGGAGGCCCCACCTACAAGGGGAATGGGTCTTGGAACCGTCACCAGGAGGCAGAAGCTGGTTATTGTTTAGGGCACAGGGGACCTGTGTTAAGAGGAAGACCAAGCGTCCCCTCCCTAATGCTTACCTGGAATTCACTGGAACAATTTATAAATGATCTTTTCTCCCCAGTTGAAATGTTTATGTTTCTTGAGAGCAGGTGGCACCTTAATCATCTCTGTGTAGTCCCTGCTCAATAGTTTATTGAATGTAAAAGATGCTCAATAAATATATGTTGAACTAACATAGACTGTAATGAAGAGTTATAGTAACTTTTGTGAGCTGTATGTAAAAAAAAAATACAATGTATAATTTTATCTTTTTTCCTCTTTTGAAAAAGCAACTGCAGAATAGCTTGATGGAATTTGGAGAACCATGGAAAATGAACCCAGGTGATGGAGCATTTTATGGCCCTAAAGTAAGTAGACCATATGCTTCTTTTAAGTAAAACTTAAAAGAAAAATAAATACCCTCTCTAAGAAAACATTATTTAATTTGTAGATTGACATAAAAATCAAGGATGCTATTGGCAGATACCATCAATGTGCTACAATTCAGCTGGACTTCCAACTGCCTATTAGATTTAATCTCACATATGTTAGGTGAGTGATTGAATGTGATAAATATTATAGTACTAATATTCTAATTGTTTGCCATTTGAGTATTAGCAATACAGAAATAAACATTAGTGAATGTCTAGTATATGTACTATACACTCAATATATATTTGTTTACCTGATCATAATCCAGTTGGGAATCAACTTGAATTTTCTGGTCTAGTAGGGGGAGGAAGAAAACTAAACATGAGCGTAGAGATATGAACAAAGTGCCATGAAAACACGATCCAGGCTGCTGACTCTCCCTGAGTTACAGAGGGGAAGACTTCACAAAATGTTGGCATTGGGTCTGTGTCTTAAGGATGAGATGTTTTCTTGAAAAAGCAGAGGAAAAAAAAGGCAATTTTATCACTGTAAGCCAACAACTTCTTTAAAAAAAAAAAAAAAAGAACATAGAGTAGAATTAACTCTCTCTGCATGTGTGTGTGTGTGTGTGTGTGTGTGTACAGTTTAATGATTATGATTCTGTTATTCTCTTGTGCTGCTTCTTTGTGGTCACACATTCCTCCTACTCCTAACCCCGGACTACCATTAATGCATTCCCCATCAAGATAGTTTTGCCATTTCCAGAATGTCATGTAAATGGAGTCATGCAGTATAGAGCCTTCTGAGGCTGGCTTCTTTCACGTAGCACAGTGCTGTGGAGATTCATCCATGGTTTTGCATGTATTGCTAGCTTGTTCCTTTTTATCACTGACTAGTAAGCCATTGTAGATCCAGTCTCTCATTTAAGGGTGTTTGGGTTGCTTCCAGTTCTTGGTGATTATGAATAGAGCTGCTGTAGGTATTAGTGTGTAGGTTTTTGTGTGAATAGAACTTTTCATTTCTTTAGGTTAAATACCTGGGAATGGGTCATATGATAATTGGATATTTAACTTTGTAGAAACTGCCAAACTGTTTTTCCAGAGTTGCTGCACCATTTTGCATTCTCACCTGCAATGTGTAAAGAGTTGCAGATGTTCCACATCCTTGCCAGTACTTGGTATTGTCAGGTTTTGTTTGTTAAGCAGTTCCAATAGGTGTGTAGTAGTATTTCATTATGTTTTGATTTTACATGTTTTTAGTGGCTAATGATGTTAACATGTTTTCATGTGCCTGTTTGCTATTCATTTATCCTCTTTGGTTAAATGTCTGCCAAAGTCTTTTTGCTAATTTTTAATTGAGTGATTTGTTTTCTTACTGTTGAGTTTTGAGAATTCTTTATATATTCTAGATACAAGCCCTTGGAGGAATATATGATTCGCAAATATTTTACCCTGGTCTGTAGCTTGCTTTTTCATTTTTTGTAATATCTTTACTTTCCCATTCATCCTGAGTTATTAAATTCAATAAAGTTTAATTTCTCAATTTTTTTCTTTTATGGATCATGCTTTAGCATCACATCTATAAGCTCTGCCTAAGTACAGGTCATGAAGATTTTCTTCTATGTTTTATATCAAAAGTTTTGTAATTCTAAGATCTGATTTGAGTTCATTGGGTGCGATGTGACATTTAGGTCAAGATTCATTGTTTGCATCTAAATGTCTAGTTGTCCACACATCAGATGATGTGAGAACAGGCCATTATTTCATCATTGACTTGCCTTTGTATCTTTGTCAGAAATTCGTTGGACATATATATGTGGGTCTGTTTCTAGATTACAAATTCTGTTCTATGGAACCACTGATTATCCCTTTGTCAATACTGTGCTCTCTTGAATACCGTAACTTTATAGGAAGTCTTAAAATTAGGTAATGTGAATACTTTATTCTTCTATTTCAGAATTGCTTTCACTGGCTATTCTAATTGTTTGGCTGTTAATACAGTCTACAAAAAATTCTGGTGGGAATTTTTATTAGAATTGCATTAAATCTAGAGATCAGTTTGGATAGTTTTCCAATTGACATCTTAACTACATTAATTATTTTAATCCATGACCTTCTTTCAGCATTGAAGCCCTATGCCTATCTTGTTAGATGCAGAAGTAGATGTAGGTGTAGAAATGTCCAAGTATTTCACTTCGGGGTGATTTGAGTGATTGTAAGTGGTTTTATATTCTCAATCTTCACATCCACATGTTCATTGCCAGTATAAGGAAATACAGTAGATTTTTTATGCTGATCCTGTATCCTGAGACTTTGCTGAACTTACTTTCTAGTTCTAGGAAGGTTTTCTGGTTTTTTTTTTAAGAATTCTTGGGATTTTCTATGTAGACAATCATGCCATCTGCAAATAGGGACAGTTTAACTCATCATTTCTGATTTATATGACTTTTTTTCCTCAGTGATCCTCATTCTGATATATGACTTTTATGACCTTCTCTTGCCTTATCGCACTGGTGAGAGCTTCCGGTGTTATGGTAAATGACAGGGATGAGAGTAGACATGCTTGCCTTGTTCCCATTCTTAGACAAGCAGATGATGTTTCATCATTGATTACTGTGTAATGTTAGCTGCAGGTCCTTTGTAGGTATTATCTATCAAATTTTAAAGTTTCCCTGTATCTTAGTTTTCTATGTTTTTATTATGAATGTATGTTGAATTTTGTTAAATTCTTTTTCTGCATCAATTTATATAATCATGTGATTTTTTTTCTTTAGCCTATTAATATGATAGATTGCATTTACTTTAAATATTGAACCAGCCTTACTTTGCTGAGATAAAATCCACTTGGTCATGCTGTGTCATTGTTTTTATGTATTGCTGGATTCAATCTCCTGATAGTTTGTTGAGAACATTTGCACATACGTTAATGTGGGATATTGGTCTGTATTTTTCTTGTACTGTCTTTAACTGGTTTTAGTATCTGAGTATGCTGGCCCCATAAAACGAGCTGGGAAGTATTCTATACTGTTCTGTTTTCTGGAAGAGATTATGCAGAATTGATGGTATTTATTTTTCAAATTTTGGTAGAATTTGTCATTGAAACGATCTAGTACTGAAGGTTTCCTTTTGGGAAGATTTTAAACTTGGAGTTTATTATTTTATTTTTTTAAATTTTATTGTATTTATTTTATTTTTATATTTATTTTATATTTTTGAGACAGGGTCTTGCTTTGGCATGCAGGCTGGAGCGCAGTGGTGTGATGATAGCTAACCATAGCCTCACACTCCTGGGCTCAAGCGATCTTCCCAACTCAGCCCCCCTAGAACCTGGGACTACAGGCATGTACCACAATGCCCGGCTAATTTTAATTTTTTATAGAAATGGGGTCTCATTATGTTACCCAGGTTTATCTCAAACTCCTGGCCTCAACCAGTCCTCCTGCCTCAGTCTCCCAAAGTGCTGGGATTACAGGCGTGAGCCATCATGCTCAGCCTGAGTTTATTTTCTTGAACAGTTAGAGAACATCATGTTACCTGTTTATTCTTGGTAAAATTTAGATTGTTCTTTCCAAGAAATTAATCCATTTCATCTAAGTTGTCAAAATTATATGCATAGAGTTGTTTATAATGTTACCATACTATACTTTTAATTTCTGTGGAGCCTATAGTAATATCTTCCCTTTCATTCATAATATTAGTAATATTACAATATAGTTTTATATATATATATATATATATATATAGTCAGCTTGGCTAGAGATTTATCAATTATATTTATCTTTTAAAATAACTGACTTCTAATTTCACTGATTTTTCTCTATTTTTGTTTTCAATTTTATTGATTTCTGTTCTTTATTACTTTCTTCCTTTTGCTTGCTTTGGGTTTATTTGCTTTTATTTTTTTGATTTCTTAAGGTAGACACTTAGATTGTTGACTTGAGGCCTATCTCTTTTTATAATATAATTTAATACAGAGGCTTACAGTCTATAAAAGGCCAGGTTGTTAACATTTTAGGCTTTGTAGGCCATAAAATCTTTGTTGCAAATACTCAGCTCTGTCATTGTAGGGGGAAAGCATCTGTAGTGGGAAAGCAGCTGTAGACAATACATAAACTAATGAATGTGGCTGTATTCCAAAAAAAATTATTTATAAAAACAGGATATGGGCTGGAATTGGCTCGTAACCATAATTTGCTGACCCTTATTTTATACTATACATTTTCTTCTAAGTACTGCTTTAGACATATCTTATAACTTTTGGTATCTTGTGTTTTCATTTTTATTCAGTTCAGAATACTTTCTTAATTCCCTTGAAACTTCCTCTTTGACTGATGGATTGTTTTGAAATGTGTTTTTTAATATTTATGTGTTTGATGATTTAGCAGTTATCTTTCATTATTTATTTCTAGTTCAATCCCACTAGGTCAGAAAACATTTTGTATGGTCTCAGTGCTCTTAAATGTGTTCAGGTTTGAATATATCAGGTGTACTTGTAAAGAATGTGTTTTCTGCTGTTGGTGGGTGTAATGTTTTGCAGAAGTCAGTCAGATCTGTTGATTGTTGGTGGTGTTCAGTTCTTCTGCATCCTTACTGATTTTATCTTTTTCCTATTGATGACTGAGAGAGGAGTGTGGAAGTCTCCAGTGGTAATTGTGGACTTGTAGTTTTCGCTTTTCAGTTTTTTCTTCATGTACTTGGAAGCTCTGTTGTTAGGTGCATCATATTTAGGATTTTTAGGTCTTCTTGGTGAATTTACTCTTTTATCTCCATTATCATAACATGCAGTGTCCCTCTTTATCCCTGATATTTCTGCTGTAAAGTCTACTTTGTCTGACACTAATACAGCCAGCTTTATTTCGATTCGTGTTTGCACACATGGTATATCTATGTCTTTTCCCATCCTTTTGCTTTTAATCTGCAAAGTGGTTTTCTTCTAGATAGCATATTGTTGTGTCTTGGCTTTTAAAAAATCTATTATGACAATCTTTCTTGTAATTGGTGCATTGAAAAACTTACTTTTTTGAACTTAGCTTTTAATTTTTAAATAATTTTAGATTGACAGAAAAGTTACACAGATAGTACAAGAGTTCTCATATATCTTCCATTCAGTTTTTACTAAAGTTAGCATGTTACACAATCATGCTATATTTTCTAAACTAAGAAACTAACATTGGTACATTA